TGCACGGACTGCATCTCCAGAACCATAAGATGATATAGTTTAGTTGTTTTAAGCCACCACATTCAGGGCATTATTGAACAGAAATGGGAGGAGGTGAATGCACAGTTGTGAGCAGATGCCCTCCCCTTGCTGCTGGAAAGAAAAGGTGGCTTAGCTCACCCGGGGTGTGGAGGCCCCCACCGTGACAGTCAAAGGGTGACCTAGGTGACCCCTCGATGTTGGAAGTGGACCTCATAGTTGCTGAGGGTAGTGAGACCCCCACACAGGCCAGAGCATGCAAGTTGTGTGTGAGTGTGAATACACTGTGTGCATATGTGAGTATGTATGTGTGTGCACATAGGTACGTGTGAGTGTACACACATGAGCAGCATGCGTAACAGTATGTGTGTGGTGCATGCGTGCATGCGTGTGTGAGCAAGCAGGTGTGCACTGTGCAAGTATGAGTGTGCATGTGTGATCATGCGTGTGTGCACATGTGCGTGCATGTGGGTGCTCTGGTGCCCATAGTGCCTGTGGAGTGGCTCCTGAGCCTGGGTGGTCTCAGAGGCTGGAGCAGAGATTGCAGAGCACAAATGCCCACAGCAGGCATCACAGGATGAAGGAGGAGGCACGAGGAGCGAGTGCCATGAGCGTTTCTGGGCTGGAGAAGCCTGTCCCAGCAGACACAGTTTTGGCTTAGACGGCAGACGTCCCACTAAGGGCTCACACGTGTGGGTGGGGCCTTGCTGAACAGGGCTTCCCAGGCGCGGGGCCTGCAGAGGTCCCATTACTCTTGTTCTGGCTTCTTCCCTCTCTCTGCTTCCTGTGTGTGTCTCTCTTCTCTTTATTTCTTTTTGCATGTCACAGTCACGGCAGCGGGAAGGACAGGTCCTTCTTGGTGTCCTGGTAGAAGATGAGGGCGTTCTGGCCTGCTGTACCCGTGCATGTGACCTTGCTTGGAGATGAGGTCTTTAGGGTGTGACCAGGCTAAGCTGAGTCATTAGTGTCTCCTGATCCAGTCTGACTGGTCTTATGAGGAGGCAGATGCCAGCGCAGACACACAGAGGGAAGACGATGTGGAGACACAGGTAGGACATGAGACAAAGGCAGCAGAGGCTGGAGTGACGAGGACACAGGCCGAGGAAGGCCAGCAGCCGCCGAGCCTGAAAGGTCTGGTGGGATCCTCCCCAGGGTCTCAGAGACAGCATGGCCCTGCCAGCACCTTGACTTTGGACTTCTTCATCCAGAACCATGGGAGGATAAAGTTCTGTTGTTTCATCCCCACCCCAGTTGTAGCAGTCACAGGAAACCAGGACAGGTCCCTTGGGTGGGACTTCATGTGGGCGTTGGGCATGGTGTCCCTGCAAGATGCGACAGGGGCCCCAGGAACTTCCCTTACCAGAACATTCCAGGCTGGCGTGGAGCTGAGTGAAGTCAGCCAGCTGCGTGCTTCTACCTGCAGGTGTGCCTGGGGGAGGCATCCACTCACGTTGTGGGTTAGATCCACTGGGTCCAGGATGACCGGTCTATGAATCCACCAGATAAAAAATCAGCACAGCTGCTTGCAGAAGAGATTAGTTTTGGGGAAAGGGCCTTGAATGATACCTGGCCTCCTGGATTTTGATTTCTACAGGATGTTTTCTTTCTTTCTTTTTTTTTTTTTTTTTTTTGGTTTTTCTCCGGTACCGGGAACCGAACTCACGACCTTGCGCTTGCCAGGCAGGCGCTTTTGCTGCTGAGCTAAATCCCCAGCCCCTCTACAGGATGTTTTCACTGCTGGGGTACTCAGTGTAAGAGCTTGCCCTCCCTGGCCCTGTCCTCTGTTTTTTAGAGGTGAACCATTAAACTGGAGACTAACACTTGTAATCCCAGCACTCTGGGAGGCTGAGGCAAGAGGATTACAAGCTTGAGCACAGCCTGGGCAACTTAGTGACTTAGCAAGACCTTGTCTCAAAAAATAAAAAAAGATCTGGTGTCGTAGCTCAGTACGAAGGCCCTGCATTCAATCAACAGCACCCCACCCCAAAGAAAAGAAAAGAGAAAAAAAGAGAGATGGCCTGGGCCACTGACAAAATCACAGGGGAACCTCCTCTTCTGACTAGCCCCCTTCCTTTCCCAGCCCCTCCTTCTAGAAGGTAGGGCACTTCGGCACTGTTTGTTTTGAGGACAAAACAGGAGAGTGTACCCATGAATGTGACCTTCTTTGGAGATGAGGGCTTTGAGGGTGTGGGGTCTTGCAGGTTGCAAGATGAAAAGCATCAACCTGGCCTGCTCCCTCCCATGCATCGTGTGCCATGTTTGGGTTACTGGCTGCCCACGGTGGAGGGGGTCGGGCAGAGACCTCATTCTCAGGCGCACCCCGCCTGTGGCGGAGCCCCCCGGGCAGGGGGGTGGGAAACGCGGTACCTCTGGGAACAGAGCTTGTGCAGGAGCCTGTTCCTGACGGTCTCATCCTCCAGGCTGTAGTTGACTGTCCAGTAGACACACAGCTGCTGCCACTGCAGGATCAGCCCCAGGATGGCCCTGACGCCTTCCGCGATGTCAAAGTCCTCAGCCCCGCAGCCCTGCTCCCAGGCGTACACAGCCAGCAGCTCCACAGCATAGGTGGGCAGTGGCTCACTGGGCGGCCACTTCCTGTGGCACTGTCAAGAAGACAAGGGTGTGGGCCGGGGATATAGCTCGGCGGCACAAGCGACTGCCTGGTAAGCGCAAGGTCCTGAGTTCAATTCCCGGCACCACCCCCCAAAAAAAGGAAGATGACAAGGGTGGCACTGACCCGGAGACCCAGTTCCTCCTATGTCAGAGGGCTGAAATTGGGAAACTGGAAGTCTCTAAGAAGTCGCTGTCCCCCACCTTAATCCCTAAAACTCGAAGGATTGAGGATACCACAGGGATACAGAGTAACTGAATCTCTTGTTACTCATGTCCCATGGGAGTGTAGCTTGGGACAGCCACTAGGGAAAACATTTGGCAGTGTGTACCAGTAAAAATAAAATAAAAAATTGGTGCAATTCGATAAAACCCAACACATACCTGTAATGAAAAATGAAACCCAGTAACAACATTGCTTAAGTTAATTAAAACTTTTATCAATTAAAATAATTTAATATGTATTTTACATATATGTTTTGCATGGGTCCACATAAGTATGCATACATACATATGGTGTGGCTATGTGTTATGGTTTGTGTCTAAATGGTGTTTTGTCTCAGTAATGAGTTTTTGGTTTGTTTTTTTTTTCCGGTACTGGGAATCAAACTCACGACCTTGCGCTTGCCAGGCAGGCGCTGTGCCGCTGAGCTAAATCCCCAGCCCATTGTCTCAGTAATGAGAACCATGACTAAGACACCCTGTATATATACATAATACATGTTCGGGGCTGGGGATTTAGCTCAGCGGCACAGAGCCTGCCTGTCAAGTGCAAGGTCGTGAGTTCGATTCCCGGTACCAGAGAAAAACAAAACAAAACAAAACAAAACAAACAAACAAACAAAAAACCCCATAATACACGTGCACTTTCAAGCCCAGAAATTTCACTCCTGAACTTTTCCCCCAAGAGCAAGGCAGGCTTAAACTCACGAAGAGACACCCAGCAAAATATTCATAGGAAGCTAGTGCATAACAGCTTCAATTTGGGAAGCACCCAATGTCCATAAGCAATAGAAGAGATAAATACGCCGGGTGTGGTGGCACCCGCCTGTAATCCCAGCACTCGGGAGGCTGAGGCAGAAGGATCGCTGCGAGTTTGAGACCA